GTTCTCATAATATATTTTAGGTAACTAGAAATATAAATCCAATATGGAGACAAATTATTTGTTTACATGTTACTTGCACTACTTTTCGTTTTCTCTATTATAAAATAAATTAAATAATATACAAATTTTGTAGGTTACATAAATTTTACTAATATCTTGTCCCTTTCATTCTATTTTAGAAGTATATTTAAATTATTTTTAATTTTTATCCGGTGCCATTATCATGGAGTGACAAATGGCAGTTTTTAGTGGGACCGCCATCCACTTTTTCAATGAAAAAGAAAACACAGCGGAATTGCGGAAATAATAATTTGCTGCAATTCCCTAAAAAAGCCTGCTTCAAGCATAAAAATTAAAGGATAAATATCTTTCATACCTGGTCTAAATTGGCACTTAAGGTGGTAAATGACTTGTTTAAATCACGAAACCAAATTTAAATACCAATTTGATCAAAAAAAAAAAGAATTTCAAGTACCTAATTGAAAAACGAAAGCTTAGGTAGGAAATTGAAATTTGAGACCAAGTTCTAGTTCTTGACTGAACACAAAAAAAGTTTAAGTAACAAATTGAATCTAGAGGCCAAGTTTAGGTACCAAAATGTATGTTTACCCAAATTAAAGAATAGTTTGACCGAAAAGGTATTACTAGTAGTGTTTATCAAGTTTGGTATTATATAGCCATATACACTGGATTCATCCGAGACTCAGTCAATTGAAGGGGGATACCTTCCCACTTCTTTCCCTGTATGAGTTTGACATCTTTAAGTTTCACACTCCTCTGGTCTTTGATTTGGAGACAAAAAAAAGTTTATCTTTTTGTAATTAGATATATTATTATTTTTTTGGTTAAAGAATGATATATACATTTAATTAAGTAAACACTAGAATCTTATTATGTACCTAAACAAATAGATTTAGGGGTTGTTTGTTTACTTCAGAATGATTAAGCGCTGAATGATTCAGAGATTCTGTATAAATTAGCTCTGAATGTAACATGCTATTTGATAATGACTCTGAATCATTCAGAATGTACTTTGATGTTGAATCATTCAGCACTGTTTTGCTGAATCAGTCAGCACTGAATTATTCAGAGGTGCGAAACAAACGCACTGAATGCTGAACGGTTCAACATTCAGCGCTGAATGATTCCATTCAGAGCCAAACAAACAGCCCCTTATAATTTTTTTTAAATAGTTTTACGTGATTATTTTATAAAAGAAAGAAAATAAAAATGTCTATTTTTTTTGTGTGAATAATTCCTAAGGAGGAGGAAAAGGAATTTCGATTCTGATAACTTGATGAGTATTGAACTCATAACTTAAAAGGAGTAAAAAAAATACTAAACGAAAACTTTTAACCACATGCTCTATAAGGGAATTATTGATAAAACTGTGTGAAATTTAATACGAGATGTAAATGAAATTTAAGGTGATATATTTTATTCGTACGTCGCAAAACATTGTAAGGCAAGAGTCTGAAATACGTGGAAGTTTGAATGTGGATTGATTTCTTCTACAAGGAAGTTCCCGTGAAACCTCTTCAAAACAAAGATGTGCACAATTCCTTTTACAATATAAGTGTAGAGTCCAAAGCTCTCTCATTTTTAAGCTAGTCGAAAGCCAAAGAAATTTCTAACTCCTTTCATTTTCCATTCACACCTTCTAATACTCCGGTATGTCAAGCTCCAAAATCACCACCACCACCTTCCTCACACCATCTTCAACCCCAAACCCTATTCGCACTCACACCATGGAGCTCGACAGTCATCAGCTAGACTTTGAAGATCTCCTACTTCTACCCGGTCAGCCCCAAACTTGTTCGGGAACTGCCTCAAGCTCTTCTTGTCTTAAACCCTACACTACTCTTTCCCCGGTCAATGGTGGCTGCTGGGCCTGGGAGGTTCCAAGCAACAGCCCACGTGTTGATTATATGTTGCCGATGTAAACGTATCTCCTTCCTGTATTTACGTAGTTTGATTTTTATTCTTCTTTATTTGATTACTGATTTTTTTTTATTTGCAGAAATGAGGGTCATGCGAAGAAGATGGAGAGGGAGGATGCGGAGAAGTTTAAAATCGCTTTCAGAATCAAATCTGGACTTGAGGTGATGGATGACGGGTACAAATGGAAAAAATACGGGAAGAAAAAGATTAAGAATAACCCTAATCCAAGGTAATCTGGGGTTCGTTTAGATTTATTAATGATATCCAGTTTCGTAAGGTTCGAGTTAGAGCACAGTAGCAAACACGTAGTTCAGTTTCATCATCATCGATCATCATTTATGCTTGCAGTTTGTTAATATATATGTGTAATTATTAATGGGGTAGCTAAGGATTATATCTATGCAGGCACTACTACAGGTGCTCAAGGGAAGGATGCAAGGTGAAGAAAAGGGTAGAGAGGGAAGGAGAAGATGGGGCGTTTGTGATAACAACATACGAGGGGAAGCATAACCATGAAAGCCCTACAACTTTGCCTGCGGCGTTTGATATTTCTCGTACCAATTATTAATGCCTTAGATCTTTACTTCTACTCAGCGCCCACGTTAATACTCTTCATGAACCCTAAGCTATATAACCGAAACATTTCTACATACACAACTGCATGCATGGTATTAGTATCGCAAATGTTTGCTCAAGTTCTTTGTTCTTGTATGAAAAGTATTTTATTCATACAACTTTAAAATTTTATATCTGTAACTTTGATTTTATATAACTTAATAAATGTTGATCTTGTATAAATAACATAATGAATACATAAATATGAAGAAAGTATGCTATATATTATCATTTGTTTTAATTTTTAATAATTAAACCAAATTTGAAGAAAGAATAATTTGATAATAATAGTATTACTACTAAGGGGCTGTTTGTTTGGCTCTGAATGGAATCATTCGGCGCTGAATGCTGAACCGTTCAGCATTCAAACTGTTTGTTTCTCACCTCTGAATGATTCAGTGCTGACTGATTCAGCAAAACAGTCCTGATTGATTCAGCACAAAAGTACATTCTGAATGATTCAGAGCCATTATCAAACAGCATGTCACATTAAGAGCTAATTCATACATAGCATCTGAATCATTCAGTATTTGAATCATTCAGCGTTTAATCATTCTGAAGTAAATAAACATCCCTAAGTGTTGAGTGTAATAATAAAACTTATTTACTTTTTTAAAAAGTCATTTTTAAACTTTAAAAACATTCTTAAAGGAATAATAAGTACATCAAATATGGAGCATAAAACATGCATAGAAGATTTTAAAATGTTCCTTTTAAATGAGTATCTCATCGAGTGTCATCTAAAAATATGTTCCCTTTTTCATTTCAACAAAAAAACTTATTTAATTAATCAGAAAAAAAATAAAAAAAATACTTAATTTAAAAAAAAAAGCTTAATACAAAAATAAGTGTATAAACTTTACTTCAAAAACAACTAGCTTCAAGAATTTCTCTCTAAACAACTAGTTCCCTTCTATTAATTTGTTTATTCTTATTTAAACCTTCAGTATGGTTTTTATTCTATCGAAAAATAAAATTTTATTTATTTTTACTTTAAAATCATGAAATTTGACTCTCCAATTCGTATTTTTAATTTCTTTTATTCTTCCTTTTACCTAAATTAGTGTAAATTTTCTTAAAAACATCTTACTTTGGTATAATAATTTTCGAAACTTCAGTTTTAAATCCATACTAATGTTTTATATTTGTGAGATTCATATAAAAAGTTAAAATTTAAGTGTTGTAGATATTAAATTATCTTAGGTTTATTTATTTTTTATGTATGAAAACTTCATTCAGAATCACATCATTAAATTTAAAAAATATTTATAGAAATATTAAATTTTAAAAATATTTTTATCGAAATTATATATCATATAAGTTAATAATTTTGATAAAAATAATAATTTAAAAATAATTTTTTTAAAAATTAATTAAATCTAATATATATATATATATATATATGGATTAAGTTAATGTGATTACAAATTAAAGTAGTATATGTTCTAAAAACACTCAACCATTCAATCATTTGCTATAGTCATTGGGTTTCGAACACGTGACTTATAAGAACAATAAAAATTCTTTTAACTGTTTGATTCTAAAAATAATATATATATATATATATTGATACAATAAAAGTTTAGGTCATAGGTGGCTCCTCAGTTCAGGGCCTAAGATTCAATTGGGATTTACATAAAAATTTACGGATTGCCTATCAAGAGTGACGGTGGTAACATTTGAACTTGACCCTACAAATTCAAATTCCTGAATCTCAATCACTAGTGCCAACATTCGTTGGCTCTAAAAATAATATTCTTAAAATATCTTTGAATGAATAATTTTTTTATTAATTAATTGAATGAATAATATATCTTATCAGATCTTATCCAAATTTGTATTAGCTAATTAAACAATAATTGTTTAAAAAATTAATTATAGAATGGACAAATATTGATCCAGGACAATCAAATTATATATATACCGCGAGAGAGACTAGGATCAAATAAGCCACACCTTTCTTAGAAAAGGAAAGGGCAAAATATGCGTTCTAAAACTAAAGCAATGTCATTTTTTAGAAAATAAAATTTTAATGATCTTGCATATCTGTCTGCGTATGTTATAGTGTGTTTTATTCAGTTAGTCCAAGTTTTAAAGTGAAAAAGGGCTGAACATTTATTTATTTATGACAAGTTTTAAAAATTTGTGTTTTGTAAAGATATTCTTGATGTTGTATATGCATTCTTCACTCTATGCTAGTTCAAAGTCATGGCAGTCGCTTTGAACGATTAAAGTAATGCATTTCACCTGTTTTCTGTTGGCTGCTTAGTTTCTTAAAGTTGTGAAACAAATTTATTTAGCCATTTTTATCAAATGATATTCTCTTGTCCCGTGTATTGGGAGGAACCAAGGAACTTGACCAAATAAACGGTTTGGGATTGAGTATCTTTGTCTTCTTTCTCATTTTCCCACTGACTGCGTGAACTTAAATTGTTCTCCCAGAGATGCCCTTGTTTGATGGTTGCATATTAAAAGCTTATTATAATGGTCTTGATTTATAAATATCACAGAAAAAAATATTCCTGTGTTTGAATGTTTATTCATCATTCATAAAAATTGCCATGTTGTAGATCCCTAAGTTTACTTCAATATTTGTCTATGAAGCTGCCAGCTTTCTTTTTTGCACTGTTCTCGAATCAAATAACATAGGCTGTTGTTGTTTTAGTTTCATATCATATATAATCAGCTCTTTACTTGAAATTTTCATTTTGCCTTTGCTAGGATTTGATTCTGCGGTATTGGGTACCCTCATGCCAGCTTGTTACATGCAACCATATACACTGATCTATTGGTTTTATTACCAGAGAAGTTTTGTTGATCTCAAACATATTACAACAATTACGTTTTGTTCCCTTAATTTGGATGAATAAGTTGATTAGATTTTCACCTTAAGAAAAAGATAACTAGAGCTTCATATTTTCCTTTGAAACAGGTTTTATCTGATGTGGACAGTGGGCAGAAATTCATTTTGTGCGAATACAACAGAGATGCTGATTCTTACAGGTAGCTTTACCCTTCTGATTAGTCTATCAGTGTATAGGTTATATACCCTGAACTTAATTGTCCCTTTCCTATTGTAGCCTAAGCGTTTGAAAGCTGTTTTGTGTTCTTTCCTGTTTGAATTTTTGTTTTGATTAAAAATAATGGAAAGTAAGGTCCCTTCTCCTCATTTATCTTGCCTAAATGATAATTGTTATGTTGAGTCAATCGAATCAATTGAATGGCCAAGAGGAGAGGGTGAATTGGCAATCAGAAAAATGATGGAGGCTTTTTGAAAGAAAATGAAAAGATGACACAAGTATTTTAGAGTGGTTCAACTTCTTCAATGAAGTCTACATCCACTACCTTAGCTTCCACACTAAGGATTTCAACAAACCCACTAATTTGTTATAACCTTTTAGGATAAGGTGTAACCTTACAATACACTTAGACTTATACCCCAAAGTAAGTGTAAAACCCTTCCTAAGAAGAAATTACAAAGAAGCAAATTTTTAAATATCCTCACAAGATAAAATATTTGCAAATTGAAGCTCTCACACATCCAAGAACACTAGAATGAAAAATACAAAGAATGGAATAGTGTTATATGTAAGAAAGTCAAAGTTGAATACAAATTTGGCTCTAAATGCTCTTTGATTGTTGGGATAGCTTTCGTGTCTTTTCTTAGCTGTTTGAAGACCCCTTTTATATGCTCTCATTGATTTCTAGCCGTTTGTGGTTGTTGGAGGGAGTTTGGAGCCGTTTGAAGCATTAAATTCACGCATTTAAGGCTATATGCACACAAAGTTTCGAAACTCTGGGGAAAGTTTCAAAACTCTTTGAAAGATCAATTGAAAAATATGACAGTTGGACCCAAAGTATCAAAACATTAAGGAAAGTTTCGAAACTCTTGAGATAGTTTTGAAACTACATAAAAGTTTCGAAACTTTTTGGGCTACTGTCTTGGAAAGTTTCGAAACTCTTGTAGAAGTTTCGAAACTTCTGGTCAATGCTTGTTTAAAAAGATAGTTTTTGACATTTTGAGAAATATAAAACTTTGAAAATTAATTCTAAAGTATTTGAATGATATTTTTAATATAATTTAAACTTAAAAGACTCATTTTAAAGATTTGACAAATTTTAGGGACTTAAAATTAATTTTACAAAAATTATTATATTTAATGTTATATCAAAATCATTTATGTTTATCATGTTATGCTAACAATCTTTTAGAGGTTTTATTTTCTATTGTCTCTTAATTTTTAGATTCAAATTTGGTGAGGACTATAGATAGTTACCTATGTTGGGTCTGTCCCTAAATCTTTATAGAAGCTTGCACGTATAGTCCATGGCACTATACTCATTTATAGATATTGGTCACTCTGGGAGATTTTCCTCCAGAATGTTAGTAAAACAGTTGTATGTTTATGGTGGAAACAACCTGCGTGTAAATCCAGAAAACTGCACATATCACCATGATGTTGAATAAACATTATGAAATATTAGAATTATGCCACGGTGATTTCTCTCATGTTTGTGTGTATTTGCATGTTCATTATCTATAAGAAATGAATTTGCATATCTGATATGCTTAAAACCTAAACACACATGCTTGCTCCAGAATTTGAATTCTTTCAGTCAGTACTCCCTGTTTGAGCTGTTAGGGAATCACGTCAGCAGCAAATCATACATCAAAGGCTATTCCTTCAGTTTCATGTCACATATGATGCTTTAATGCCATCTTTCGAGTTACATTGAGCCCCTTTTTACTTGCGGAGTAGCAATTTTCATTTATAATTCATCTTTGTGACTAACTCTTAATTTGTGGTTTTCTTTTGTGCAATTGTACTGCTTGTAGATCACCTTGGTCAAACAAATACCATCCACCATTGGAAGATGCGCCTTATCCATCTTCAAAGTTGAGGCAATTGGAAATTGAAGCTAACGAAATCTTTACAGTCTATTGTGACCAGTGAGGTTCTTACTTATGTCATGCTTTGTTTATTAATTTGCTATTAGCGTGGGTTTGATTACAATTGACCTCTATTCTGTTTTATGCTTTTCTTTTTTTGTGGTTGGATATTGGGTTTTATGGTGTAGCTCCATCAAGTTGGATTTTTTAATGCAATATTTGCTTTTTTATAATTTATTTGTTTATGTTTAACTAATTACACAATGGGTATTATGAAGGTGGCGTCTCATCTGTCTATATGTGGGAAGATGACAACGAAGGTTTTGTAGCCTGCTTTTTGGTATAGAAAGAGAAGCAGATTCTTTTTATCCCAAATAAAGCCAGTAACCATTGTTAGTTCTTCTGATTTGCTATCCTTGACATTTGGAGAAAGATGGCTCAAAGACTGGGCAAGGGCGAAGAGGTTATTTAGAGGAGGGAACTTGGGATGCTATTCACGTTATAGAGGTGAATTCAATGGCTTTATACAATTAGGGATGTAGAACTTTCATTCTTGTCTCAGGCCTCTCTTTCCCCTTCTCTTTCTTACTTTCTTTCTTTCTTCTTCTTCTTCTCTTCTTCTTCTTCTTCTTCTTATTACCTGTTTACTATTTATTCCTCTATGGACAGTAAGTTTGTTACTTTATTCTGCATTCTCTTGCTAATGTCTCTAACCTTTGATTTAGGTTGGACCAGAAGAAGAATTTACCCGATATTGCTTGACTAGTACAGTCATGCTGTCTTTGACTACAGATGATGTGTCATCGGGCACTTTCAGCTTGTCTGGATATATCAGACGACAGGTAATTTGTGGGATTTTCTAGTAACATATAGAGTTTAAGATTTCACCTTGTGGAAAGAAAATAAACTGCTGGAGAATGCAGCATTATGTCCACTCAACGTGGTTTGTACTCCATAGATACTTTCAACTCTTTTTTACTATCCATTACTATCTATTCAATTTTGGAAACACTGGGATGTGGAAACAGGTTTAGGGACTTCTTGATCACCAAATGCCATTGAATTGATGATCTTGGATATCACAAGCGGTGATTGGTTAGATCTATCAGAAAAAAATGGTTCATAACTAGTATTGATCATCTCAAATCCAAGAATGGAACTATGTTACTTGGACTTGGGTGTAAGTGTCAAATACGGGTATATGTTGGACATAAGTTAGATATGGGTATTTCAACAAAAGTGAGGAGTCAGATAAACATAACTCCAGGGCAATAAACTTAGATACAAAGTTGTTTGCGAATTGCCTTTGTAAAGTTAAATATCAGAATTTGAATTCTTTCAGTCAGTACTCCCGGTTTGAGCTGTTTGTGAACCATATCAGCGGCAAACCAATCTTACCTCAAATGCTATTCCCTCAGTTTCATGTCTCATATGACGCTTCAAGGCTTTCATTGAGTCCCTTTTTACTTGAGTCTTAAAACATGGTGTCCAATTCGGTTTTTACTGTTTGATACTGATATGTTTATGGACTGAGCGGATATTGCTTAGTTAATGTATTTATATGACAGTTACCCTATGGCTTATCGTCCTTCCCTTGTTTCTACACTCAAATGTGAAGTTTCGGTCAAGGTCTAAACAACCCTTTTCACCTGTTATCTTTTTGTCCGTAGATGAATATGAACCTCCCAGTAGCCGACGGTCATCTTTCTAACACGGGAAAGATGATAGAAGAAATGGAGGGTAAGCTCCGGAACTCTACTACTTTATCTGAACTGCCTTTGCCTGTTCGAACATTGATAATTTTGAGTTTGGTAGTAGGGGCCAAAATATTTACATATTTTGCAGGTCTACTTTGGAAAGACGACAGAGATGGTTTGCAATTTACGGTCTTCTAATGATGTGGTGCAGATGAGATTGCCTACCAGTTGATGTGGTTTTGATGCCATTTGAAGTTGAAGTCATGTTTGCTTTACTCGAGTGACCTCAGAATATGTGTGTATGGGATATATTCAGATCAATGGTTCGACTCTGCTTTTATAACAATACATTATATGTTCTTGCTGATGATTTGTTTTGGTTAATAACATCTCCATCTACAAATGACCATCGTTTTAGGCAACATAGCACAACTAAAACCTTATACTTGAAAATTATTCCTTCATTGGCCAAAAAAAGAAAACCTCTCAATCTCCAGTAAAAAGGGTGTTCAACAAACTGAAAAAATTAAAATAAAAGCATAAATAATATTGTCATGTAGCTTGAAGCATTTGACTCGGCTAAAATATACGATTGCAAGCCAAACATGTTGCTCTAAACGCTTTTGACTTCAGGTACAGCACAGGATGATGAGGCATCTTTCTTCGAAACTGATATTTCTTCCACAACATCTTCTGTATCACTGTCATCATCTGCAAGAACGCATTGAGATACATTGAATTCCTATGGAGAAATCATCTCTTTTTTAAAAACACAACCAACTCGATATCCCGACAGCAAATATACAAACTCACCTTTCGTCGCACCAAAGCCTTCATCACCCATGTTCATCTTCTGTAACCAATTCAGCAGAAAGAACATGCGAAAATCTAATCCCATCAAGCCATGTTTAACAAATTGCTTTCTTATTATCAATAAGATTTTAGTCTCTTAATTGAAAGTTGAAGCCTAAAGCATCCTCGTATATCAAAAAAAAAATATGAAAATCTAATCCCATCAAGCCCCCTCTTTAAAGCAGAATCAAAATAACAGAAACCCGGAAAGGAAACTTCAAAACACAAGGACAGGGACAAAGACACTTGTAGCCTGGAAAGGCCAAGACGGGTAAACAAACAATAGTGGCAATGGGAGTTTGATGTTCAATTTTCGTTTTCTTTCATTTCCTCCATCTTCTGAGCTACAAAACAACTTGAAGAAAAAGTGTGCAAAGGAAAATAAGAAAAATTCAAGAGAGAGAGAGAGAGAGAGAGAGAAAATACCTCATGATTGGGCGATTCTCAGCGTACTTGATTGTTTGCTTCGTTCGCCGGAAGAGAATTTATGTGCGATGCAGCAGACTGTAAAATGTAGAGGTTTGGAATGTATTTATAGGATCTATGGGTAAAAATGGGAAAATTTCACTAGTTATTAGTATTTACTATTTAAAAAAACAAATACTATTCGACGACTTTTAGAAGTATAATATTACTCCAGTAGATATATATAAATTTTCTGAACATGAAGAGCAGAAATCATATAAAAGAGATGGTTGGGGCATTCTAATCTCGACATTCAAAGCCGCTTGGATGGTTTCTCTATTTAGTCAAAAGCAGATGATGAGATTTTCTCTATTGACTCGGCAACGGGGAGAGTTGAAGCTATCTATTTAGTCAAAAGCAGATGATGAGATTGTCTCGTGTCCAAAGGAACTCAATGTGTTTCTCTCTCGAGAAGCAGTTCGCTAGCGACAAAGGTCAAAGATTTCTTGGATGTAGAACGGTAAAGGTAGTAACTACCCAGTATTTCCATGCACAACCTTCTAAGCGGCGGTGCAACAACCGTATTCTCATGCTTTTAAATGACGCAGATCAGCTTTCTTATCAACTGTCTTTAAGATCTTATGTTATTAACAATGTTACCCATAAAATATTCTATAATAATATAAAATTATAAAATATCAAAATTTATTATATTACGATTGTTTCTTATAAAATAAAAATACTTTAAACACATAAAATTAAGAAAATGTCACAAAATATTTCTATAATTGTAATATTTTATTTAAAAAGTATCATCTAAATGCTTTTGCAAATAAACTTGTAATTTTTTTTTCAAAGTATAAGACCGTTAGATTTTGGGACCTTGTGACATATCATATGTCGTACTTATAGATGAACGAGTCTACTTTTTGTAACACTCTAAATTATGGGTTAGTAATTTCGGGTTTATCCAAGAGGCATGTGAACCTCGTGGAGTTCATAATTAGAGTCGTTGGGCAAAGTTGAGGTTAATTGGATTGGAATTGAGCCCAAAAAGGTTATAAAAATGAGATTTTTGCGTAAGAGGCAAAATATGATGGATCTAAAGCGTAATTAGATCACTAAAAGAAGAAAAAAAATGATATCTTGAGCTTTTATTTATGGGTTGGATGTGGGTTCTCACATAGGGATGACATACGGACGGATTGGGTCCGGATACCCCTTCACATATTCCCATACCCACCTAATATTTTCAAATTCAACACTTGCCCACCACCTATGATGGGTAAAAATTTTCAAATCCACACCCGCCCACGCGAGTACATTCTCAAATCTATCCCCACACTCACTACCCAACTAGAGACGTACCCGACTAGATCCGCCTAACAACAACCTTAAGTTATACATAAGCAACAAACTTAAAACAAATATGTCCATTAAGAAGCATAATAAAATAAACCAAGGATTATCTGAGTTAAGTGTTAACATATATATTAAAGTACATAAAACACCATAATATTATATCGTATACAATATTAAGATTTATAAATTAGTCTATAAAATTATACCTAAATTCATAATGTTCCAAAATTTAATGGCTATTTAGTGGGCGGGCGGATGTAAGGAGGGCGGATGCGGGGCGGGTAAGGTCTCAAACCCATCACCCGCCCACTACCCCATATGGGTACCACTTTCTAAATCCACACCCGCCAACTACCCACTAAAGTTATACCCATCCCCGCCTCAATTGGAGCGGGTACGGTGCAGAATCCACGAAATTGTACCCGTTTTCCATTCCTATTGTAATATCTCAAACACCGGGTTAGTGAACCAAATTGTAAAATTTCAGAATTTAGTGAATAAAGTAGATAAATTGAAAAGTTTAGGGGCTTATATGTAAAATTTTGTGTAAGACTAGATATCAAAGAAGGATGATTGGAATGGCAAAATGGTCATTTGACCAATAAATGAAATAAAATGTATTATGGTGAAGATATATACACATGGAGATTTGAAAGAAAATGGAAGAAGGTTTATGATCTTTGGGTAATACTTAAGCTTAAGGAAAGCTTAAGTTGTCTTAAAACTATAAGATGAAGGAGTTAGAAAGGATTAAAGATAAGAGGGTGATAAGTGAAATCTTGGAAGAGAGTTAGTAAATACAGTTTGAGACTAAATTTGACTTGACATCAGTTAAATTAAGAAGTATGAAGTGTTGAAATGAAATTTGAACATGTTGTAAATTTAGTCAAATTCTTGGATTCAAGGTATAGGATGAGATTTTGAAGATAATGATGGTTTATATGGATATAAGTTGATTTGAGTAAGGGTAGTTGAGTTTAATGGCATGATAGGGGCTCAAAATGGAAGGTTTAGATTGGTATTGGTGATTTTTCAGATTTTAGGAGTGATTTCTGGGCTATGAGTATCGCTACTGCTTTATTCAACACCGATACTTCAAAGGTAAATAAGTGATAATTGGGGTCTGGGTATCGATACTAGTTGAACAATATCGATATCATAAAATAAAATTTGACAAGTTATTCAAGGAGTATCGATACCTAAAGGGGTAGTATCAATACCAAGGGTATCGATACCATTAGGCCAATATTGGTACTATTTTTGAAATAAGGATTACATAATCGAAAAAGGGTAGCTAGGGAAGTATCGGTACCATACCTTAGGTATCGATACTACTCAAAGGGGAAAAATTGAATTATGCTTTTCTTTTAGCTTAAGTTATTAAGGATCAAATTATAATACCCATAATTCTGATATGTATATTAAATGTATGATTATGTAGTTATTGAACATAAGCAAGTTTCGGAACAACCGAAGAGTTAGAAACGGTCGAGAGAAAGATAAAGTCATATAATCGATTCGAATCAAGTGAGGCTAAGGTGAGTGCATATCATAGTTAGTATAGATGTTGTTTGATGGAAATAAGACTTGTGATAAGTCTATTTCCTATATTTGATTTCATATTCATGTACATGCATATGTTATGATTATAATGAATACGTGCATAACTTATACATGCTTAAATATGATGATATGATATGTGATGTATGTAAACATAAGAGAACCAATCCAAGCTATATGTTATAAGACAAGTGATCCTATGTGTACATGTGAAATATGAGATGTGATTATATGAGAAATGATAGAAGAGATATGAAAATATGGAATGTATAAATATTTAAGCCCATGTTATATGATATGAGAGTTGTAGGTATAATTGGCATGCCAAGAGTCGAGGGTTCTATGTGGTCCTTCAGGATATATATGTAATCCTTTGGAACATATATGCAGTTCTTCGGGACATATATTTGGTCCTTTGGAATATATATGTGATCCTTAAGGAGTGGTCATTCTGGACATATATGTGGTCATTCGGGATATATATGTATATATGGGTCCTTCGGGACAAATTCTATGTGCCACTAGTGGGAAATTATACGAGCTGTGGTGACAGCATATGTGCACAACCTCAACGTACTCACGTACCTTAGGTCCTCAATAATGTACATGGGCATACAAAAGATAAATCGAATTAAACACCTCATAAGATGATAAGTATTATATTATTTGTGCATTCCATGATTTTTGTGTGTGTTACGATTGAGTAAGTACATGAAGATTGTAATTTCATGTGGAATTATAGGATCACATGTTTCATGAATTCATTATTGCATGTTATATTATGCCTCACTAAGTCTGTGACTTAGCGTGTGAGTATTTCACACGTAGGTACCAAAAGACAAGAAGATCAGAGTTGAAGTCTAGGAAGACAACATCTTTTTTGAAGATGATCAGATCATAAGTGATTTAAAACATTATGTCATTTTGTTATAGTAATTATGTTGGCATGTAATAACAGTTTAAATCATATATGATCTGATCGATTTTGCAATTATTTTGATGGTATTTATGTAAATTATTTCATTGTTGTTTTATTAAAATTTTAAATTTT